GAGAGAGAGAGAGAGAGAGAGAGAGAGAGAGAGAGAGAGAGAGAGAGAGAGAGAGAGAGAGAGAGCAAAAAGACTGGTTCAAGTTATATTATGTGATGCCCAGTTTCAGCAGGATACAACAATACAGTACCTTTCAAACTATATGCGACTGTATCGAGCATGCATGATCCAGAGGCGGCACCGTCTCTCTCGGCCCGCGATGAGTCCTGGTTGCATTCTTCAGGCAGATTCCCCATCACTATCACTACAGGATCTCTTCCTCCCGTTCGGATCGCCACTCTTCTCCCGCCTCCGGGATGCTGATCCGATAAGCTATGACCGAAGTGCGATGTGAACTCTAGAAGTATGTTGTATCTGTTCTTCTCACTTCCCCCTTTTTCCCTCTGTCACAGTTGTCCCAGTTTCACCCCAACCCCCCCCTCCCTCCCCCCCCGGCGTTCCGCCAGTTACCCTTTACAGCAATCACCTATACTGCCAACGGCACACTAGTTACTTGCCTGTACTGCCGACGAGAGAGTAATCACCTATCACCTATACTCAGTATGCTTGGTCACCTATCACCTATACTCACTTAGTATACTTCGTCACCTATCACCTATACTCGCTCAGTATACTTAGTCACCTATCACCTATACTCGCTCAGTATACTTAGTCACCTATCACCTATACTCGCTCAGTATACTTAGTCACCTATCACCTATACTNTATACTTAGTCACCTATCACCTATACTCGCTCAGTATACTTAGTCACCTATCACCTATACTCGCTCAGTATACTTAGTCACCTATCACCTATACTAACTATAGTTAGTAGTCGCCTATCACCTATATTGTTAGTCACCGTTACACTGCCGACGAGACATTGATCACCTATCACCTATCACCTATCACCTATCACCTATACTGCCGACGGGGACGATAATCATGACATCACCTATACTCTGCCGGCTGGTCCCGTGGATGGCTGGTATAGCAAACCGAGAGCAAGCAGAGGCTCAGATCACAGTCGCTCAGCTAAGGTAGCCGCCACACATCGCTTGCATAGTCCATATGTGACAACCATCTGCTTCAGTGCGGCATCATCTATAGCATGGCCCACCCCCACGGATCTCCACGCTACCGAGGAGGACGGGTTTTCCTGAAGGGGGAGAGGGGGGCGGCGTGCACTAGGGGGGGGGATGGTCTGTGGAGGGCGAAAGTGTGACGGGCGGGGGATGAGTACAACCGTACGAGAAGGAGAAGGAGAAGGAGAAGCAGAAGAGAGAACCAACAGGAGGAGAAAGGAGGAGAAAGGAGGAGAAGAGAACGACAGAGATTCAGACCATACCGGATCTGACGATTTCGTTAAGATACAATCCGATCTTTTGATTGATATATGATACAGTACACTATGTTTTTTTTGTGTTTTTTTTTTTTTCCTAAGTACGCTGTCGTTTTTATCTGCACAGACTTAAGGAGGACTTTTGATCCAAGGAGGAATTTCTTTCTGAGAGTATCTGATCGATACGTGCGGACAAATTCGACCGAAAAAGAAGTTACTGTAGCATGTGCTTTGCACGAAGGGCTAATTCGATCGATCCGACGTTTTTAACTTCACTATGGCCAAATGCGGCCGGCAAAAAAAATATGTCATGTTAGTCGGTTCCTACTACCTATAGCACAACGGAGGACTCTTTCGTGGCCCGAAGAAGACGTAGGGCATCGCCACAGCACGCTCGAAATGTGCAAAATGAGAATGAACTGTCCGCTAGAACATGGCCAGATGTACCCTCCACATTTTTATCTTTTTTCACATTTCGAGAGGGGTGTGGCGAGGAGGCCCATATCCAGCCCCGAAGTAGAGAGAGACAGCAGAACCTACAGCACGCATCCACGGATTATCGCCCTGTCGCTCCGCCCTGTCGACCTGCACCTTCCACTTCCCCTACTGCTCTTCAGCTGACAGGTTCGACTGATGAATGACAATCCAGAAATTCGACGAGACGAGAATGTTGTCGAGCCAAAATATCAAATATAGATATATATATATTATATATATATATATTTATAGATATATATCTTTAATTATATATATATATATATATCAACGAGTGCGGGGGTAGTTTTCGATTTCGATTCAAATCTCCCGCCAGGTGACGTCTCGTTACAAGCGCGCTCTGTCTGTGCGCCTGAAATTTGGCGCTTTTCGGCATTACGTTACGTAGGGCCAGATCCCACTAGCCCCCCCTATTTTTCCTTTTTGACCGTTGATCTTCCTAATCGAGGGTCAAAAATGAATAATCCAGGGTAGTGGGATCTGACCCGTACGTCTCGCGTCTGGCGAACCAAACGCGCTGTGTCTCTACTTTGGCGTTTTCCGGCGCGCGGAGGGTTCCTTTTCTTTTTTCATTTTTTTGGGCGGGGGGTTGCTGTCTTACAAAAAAGGTCAAATTTTCGATATACCCCTGAAAGTTCAATCAATATGCATCGTGCCCCTCCGACGGCTGACTTACCCTGCCGTGCCCCTGGGGCCTCTGAGCTTTCCTGCAGGCCCCTCTGTGTGAGGGGACTTTCCAGCATGCCCCTGTGGCCGTTGGTGGCACACGAGGCCGTTCCCCTGGCTCTGGGAGGGGAGCTGCCGGGGCATACTAGACATTTGGAAACGGTTCCGATAGGGGTATATTGAAAATATTTCAGGCCCAAACGATACCAGGGGCTTTTCAGAAACTTCAATATCACTCAGAGGGGCGCTGCAGGGTAAGTCGGCCGTTAGAGGGGCACTCTGCGAAAAAATGGAACTTTGAGGGGCATATCGAAAACTTTCCCTCAAAACGAGGCCGAAAAAAAAAAAAAAAAAAAAAAAAAAAAAAAAAAAAAAAGGGGCAGCCCGCACCGCGCGGAGGGTTTCATTACATAGCTCTTCGGCGTTTTTCGGCTTTCTTCTTTTTCCTTTTTTTTTCCCCCCTTTTTTTTTCTTGCGGTACTTCCTGGCTATCGGCCCCAAGCACGTATTTGGACCATTTTCCCGATTGGGAAAATTGCATCTACACCCGCCGGTCCCACCAGCCAAGTTGTATCTATACCCAGACCCTACTTTTCCAGTGGGAGCCAACTTACACGTGTGCACCCAGCCACACAGTCTGCACCACTACTCGGGTCTATGGGCCTCGCTCACACTACTCTCCACATCACAAAAGACAACAAATAAAATTTAATAAAATATGGCGGTGTATTTGCCCATGTTCTAGGTGAAGATTCGTTCTCATTTTGCACATTTGGCGAGTGGTGGAGCGAGGCCCTATATTCGATCAGTTAGTGATTCCTACGCTACCGTCTTCCCCCGAGCATAACGCAGCCTAAAAATGAATGTATACAGGCTATATATCCTGCCAGATACAGCCAAAATAAGGGTGCGTTGTGTTCGGGGGAAGACGGTGGGCTGTCTGCTTTGCGGAGGCTTTTTTTTTCTTTCAGAACATGGAAATATGCGGAGGCTTTCTTTCATCACCGTCCTTGCGAATTCAACCCTCGCGTCAACTGATGTTGCGCCCACTGAACTCGTCACCCGACGTGCGCCCTGTACTGTCGGCGGTCATCACGCGCGCCCACGCCCACCACGCTCGCCTTCCGCGCGCACGCGCGTCTATACGCGGATTAGATGGAGATCGGCGGCAGAGGCGCAATCTTCGCCGAAACTAACGGCGGGAGAGGCGACACGACGGACGAAAACTGAAAAGCGAACACCTACAAAAAAAAAAAAAAAAAAAAAAGGCGAGCACCCACTTACTCAAGTTCTCAATTTCTGACCGTTGATTTCGAAGATCAACGCCCAACAATGAACAATCAGAGGAAGTGGGACTTGGCCGCAGAAACTGCGGAACCGCCGTGCGGGGTCAGCTACGATCACGTTTCCAGCAGCGAGATTTATTTTTTCCTTCTGTTTTTCGACGGTGTTGGGGCTTCATCCTTTTCTGGTCGCAAGTGCCAATGGATACATGCACCTTGGTGCATTAATGCGGCCAGATACATTGAGATAGAGCCAGTGTGAGAAACGCCCTGATTTCTTTGTTCGTTTTTTGAAGTTCTCGGCGGTCCTCTCAGAAGATTTTCTTTTTTTTTCTTTTTTTTCTTTTTTTAATTTGGACCATTTCTCGATTTATGCGTGTCATCCTTGCGCAGGGGCCATGCTAATCTTCTCTGTATCGTTCCAATTTTAACGGATGTCCCGAAGGACTCTCAGAAGATCTTTGCCTCAAGTACAAGAGAGGACTTCCGCCATAAACGCCACAAGGCTAGGCTGGCGCCCCCGAGAGTCGAGAACCGTCCGGTCGGTCTGGTTTCATGCCAGCAAGTCGGCCGTCGTGACGGACTACCGTAGGATTTGAGCCCCTGACCTGCTGGTGTGTCTCCCTCCACACAGCATAAATAAGGGTCAGATCCCACTAGCCCCTATTGTTCATTTCTGACCGTTGATCTTCGTAATCGAGGGTGAAAAATGAATAATCCAGGGTAGTGGGATCTGACCCTAAGGCCTTTCCTCAAGGTGTCTGGCTAAATAAACGGGCAAATTCAGGCAAATGTGAGGACATCCTCTAGCCGGAAGGATGGGGAGCCAATTGAGTGAGTGAAGCAGGGACACGGAATGGAGGACTACCAAGGGTCGCCATCTTGGGTGGAAAAGTTGCCCACCCCATCGGCAATGCCTACCCACCCCTCGTCACCGTGATGAGCGACTGGTACAGCCTTGGGGCCTCGTTCGACCCCACTACAAAATCCTTACTTTGTAAGAGCGCCCTTACGACGAGAAAGTGATTAATTTCCCCTTACGGCATTTTTCGTTCCACAACCACTTACGAAAACCCTACACTTACACAAACAGAGGCACCTGAAACGTAAGTGCCGTGAAGATTTTTGCCTCATCCGGAAGCCAGGCAGGGTTGTGATCTGGACGCGATAACATCCGCCCACGAGAAGAATGAATGCGCAGACCCTCACCATTCGAAATTCAAATTCCGCACCACCAATTTGCTTTGCACACATTGCATTCTAGAGTCCTTGCGTATGCGTTTTCGACGTTGCATGCGCCAATACTCTACTGTCGCGACACCACACGTGGCTTCACATGGCTGCCATGTAGCGTGTTTTTACAAGGGAGTTCAGGTATGGTCGGCAGCGGAAGGGATGAGGCGGCGATGAGGAGACTGTCACCCCGTGAGAAGACCATGGTCGCCAGTGCCGTCCTCGCGGTCTGTCGGCACATGGAGACGGTGAACGGACTACGGCTGGCTGGGAGGGGTAAGGGGAGGAGGAA